CTTATGCAAAACCTATACTCAGATCAGGAAGCAATCCTCAGAACAGAGTAAGGAAACATAACTTCTTTTAAAAGCATGCAATTAAAAAAAAGTCTTTTTTTTACCTGAAGTATCAATTATTTCTTCTTACCAATTTTCATAGTAAGAATAATTTTCCTATTATGCCTCCTTATGTTTTGGAATTGAACCATCAAACTCCCCAAATCTGAATACATCATGCCTGCTGACAGTTATAAACTACTGTTAAAAATTCCCAGATTGCTGGAAAGTCTCTTCTTGCCCTCTTTTACATTCTTGTCTCTCCCAGTTTTGGTGTTCTGGTCTCTCCGATGAACTTCAGTTATGGTTATTGAACTCTTCCCTCCTATTCAGAGAAAAAAATTCATTTTACAGTCATGTGAAAATGACCACATACTTTTAATTTTTTTTTATATCCCCTGAAAACTCACTGAAGCATCAACTACAATTTGGTTATAACTCAATGGCAATGAGCTGGGTTTTTTTATTTTAATGAACATTTACAGAGATTGTGGATTTCCATTCATTCATTGTTGCACTTTTCTCCCTGCCCACCTCCCTGACCCTCCCCCAGTTTGCTCCTTTCCTTGAAAAGTAAAAGAAAAATTCCTTCATTGGTTTTAAAAGGCAATAAAATAAAATTCTGAACCTAACTTGATACTCTTGCCTGGTATGTCCACACAGAACTTGGTTTGCATGTTGAATGAAGTATGGCTCTGTGTGAGATGGGTACATGTAAGTGACACTAGGTTTCACCAGCCTTGCATCTACGGTGTTCCCTGGTTGCCCTTTTTTTCAAGATAGACTTGTTTGTTCTTCTGGCCACCAGCGAAATAGTCAGTACTCTTCTCCAGCACCACAACTTGAAGGCATTGATTTTTCTTCTGCCGTCCTTACTTATTTGTCCAACTTTCAGATGCATAGGAAGCAACTGAAAAGACGATGGCTTGTATCAGCTGCACCTTAGTCTTTAAACTGACACTCTGGAGAGCATATCCCCCCCCCCGAAACAGAACTTCTTTGAGTTCTTGAGTACTGGATATTGATTGTGCATTGAAGTAAAAGAAAATAATTGACGATTTCAATCCATTCTCCGTCTATCATGATGTAACCTATTGGTCCAGTGGTGAGGATATTTGTCGTCTTTATGGTAAGATGTAGTCCATACTAATAAATTCTATCCTTCTTGACTCTTTGACCTTAGGCAGATTTCCCAGTTTGCTCATCTAAAAAATAGAAGTTAAGAATAAGATCTGCCTTGTTGAGTTGCTGTAAGATAAAAGAACAATCCAGTAAAAACACTTAGATTGTTGTTCTTAGTAAGCACTGAATGTTGGTTGTTGCTAATAAGGTGGAATGGTTGCTTAAAACACCATTTACTTGCACTACTTTCTGTAAATCTATTATTTTTTTTTAGTTGGAAGCACTATTTTAACAATTGAATTTTATGATGCATATTGTGTTTGAGATATTTACTATAAAATATATAGACATTACAAGATTTTCCTTTTGTTATCAGGGTCATTTGATTCTCTGAAGTATAATACTGAGAATATGTGTTAATATATATGGTTTGGATGAAAGATTATAGAAACTGTTTAATTAGTAAAGTCTATTTTCATTCATTTATATATTATATATTTCAAATCATTACAGTAGGTGGCAGTAGTTCTTTACTATTTTAATCTTCTCTCCATTCTAAAGTAGAGAATTTGGAAAAAAAAAAATATATATCCTGACCTTATTACTAATGTAAAGATTGGCAGTTCTATCCCACCCTGTGGTTCCATGGATGGAAGGCTTGGTAAATTGTTTCACAAAGATTACAGTCAAGAGAACCCTTACAGAACCGTTTGACACTGTACCACAGATGGTCCCCATGAGTCAAAGGCTAATGCAGCTGCAACTTATAGCACCCATTTGTAAATGCTGTTGTAAACTGCCTTCTAGTCCACTATGAACTCCCAGCAACTCTATGAACTACAGATTTTCGTCTTACTCTATCCTGCACTACTCTCACCATCCCCGTCAGGTTAGGCCCACTATGGTAGCCACTGTGTCAGTTCCTGTTGAGTGTCTTCCTCTCTTGTGCTGACCCTCTCTATCTTTCCCAGAATGATGTCTGTTTTCAAGAAATACTTCCTCCTGAAAATATGCCCAAGGAAAGTGAGACTAAGTTTCACCATCCTTGCCTCTAAGGAGTATTCTTGTTGCACTTCTGTAGAGACAGATTTGTTTGTTCTTTTGCCAGTTTATGGCATATTCAGTACTCTTTGTAAATACTGCAATTAAAAGGCATCAGTTCTTCTGAATTCAGTCTTCCTTATTCCAGGAAGCTTCCTAGTCCAGGGAGCTCTGATGGCCTAGAGGCAAGAAGCTGTGCTACAATCCAGTGGCATGTGATTTGAATCCACCAGCTAGCTGCTCCATAGCAGAAGGATGGGCAACTCCCATGTGATTAACTGCCTCTGAAAACCCACTGGATGGTCAGCCATGGTCCGATTCCAACATGATGGTATACAACAACAACAATATGCCAATGGGCTCTTTGGTATTAGGTCCTTAAAATTATCTCCCATTGAGTTGATTTCAGGTTGCTACATGAGAATTATAATTCGGAACTAAATCGATGGTGGTGGTGTAAGCTCTTCAAACTCCAGAACTATTTCTTACAGAGTCTTGGCATAGTTTCAGAATCTATTAATCATAGTACTCGAGACAACAGCGAATTGTTGTTGTTATGTGCCGTCAAGTCGCTTGCAACTTATAGCGACCTTATGTACAACAGCCCCAAACCCTGCTCTGTCCTTGCCAATCCCACTATCTGTGACACACCCACCCCAATTACCCCAATCACTCAATCTACCTCATATAGGGTCTTCCCCTCCTATGCTGTCCCTCCACCCTCCCAAGCATGATGACCATCTCCAAGGACTGATCCTGCCTTCCAACATGTCCAAAGTATGTCACACGAAGCCTCAGAAACCTTGCCTCCAAGGAGCAGCCTGGTTTAACCCTCTCCCGGATTAACTTGTTCATTTTCTAGCAGTCCATGATACACTCAGTACTCTTCTCCAGCACCACAGCTCAGAGGCATCAATTCTCCTATCCTCCCTAGTCATTGTCCAGGTCTCTGATGCATAGCAAGTGATTGCAAAGACCATGGCCTGTATCAGATGCACCTTAGTCTCCAGAGTGACAGGTCCCCAACAGCAGACTTTCCCATCACAACACGTCTTTTCATTTCTTGGCTGCTGGTGCCAAGAGAGCTGACTGTGGAGCCAAGCAAACTAAAGCTGTGAAGAGAATCTCTTCACCATCCATCCTGATGCTGCCAGTTGGCCCAGTGGTGAGAATCTTTGTCTTCTTGATAATTGAGCCTCAATCCATATTGGAGGCTGCAGTCCTTGACCCTCTGCAGCAAGCGCTTCAGGTCCTCCTCCGTTTCAGCAAGCAGGGTTGTGTCATCTGTATAACACAGATTATTGATGAATCTTCCACCAATCCTAATGCCACACTTCTCCTCATACAGCCCAGCCTCCCGGATAATCTGCTCTGCATATAGGTTGAAAAGATATGGAGGTAGGACATATCCCTGGCATACACCGTTCCCAGTTTTGAACCATGTAGTGTTTCCTTGCTCTGTTCTGACAACTGTCTCTTGGTCCAAGTATAGGTTTTTCATTAGCACGATTAATAGTTCATTATAATTAATTACTGTATATAAGGTACTGTGCTAAACATTAAGTCATAAATTTTGTGTCCCCTCAAAATATGTGTTTATGTGCCTGGGCCATGGTCCTTAGTGTCTTAGATATAATGAAATAATGTGGCTGTTATCCTCCATGATCTGATAAGCCAGTCAGTTGTAAAAGGGTTAAAGATGAGATGCAGCATCCTTCAACTTTGCCACAGCCCCAATGTAGTGAGAATTCCCCAAGGATGTTGTCTGTAACTCATAGTGACCCTACGAACAGCGGCTTTGAACTCTGCTCTATCCTGAGCCATCCTCACTGTATTTGGTACACTTGCCTCATTGCCACAGTCACTGAGTCAATCCATCTTCTCTAGGGTCTTTCTCACCTGCGTTGACCCTCCACCCATCCAAGCATGATGTCCCTCTCCAAGGACTGGCCCCTCCTGACAAAATGTCCAAAGTATGTGAGACATAGTTTCAAAATTCTTGCCTCCAAGGAGCAGTTTCACTCTCTCTAAGACAAACCTGTTTTCTTGGCAGTCCATGGTATGTTCAGTACTCTACAACTTACTTATAAAATAAAAGAGTAGTGAACACAGAAGAACCTTAGTACTATGAAGAGAGAAGAGCTGAGAGAGTGATTCTTTAGGACCTAGTTCCTATGCTAGGAATCTTCCAGAACCAGGAAAATATTGATGCCAGGACACATGGATGCTAGGCTTACAGGTGCTGAATGGAGAAAAGAACCTTTCTACCAGAGAGTGAACTCCTTCTGCTGGAATTGGTGCTGTATACTTGGCATTTCTAGCTTCCTAAACTTCTAGAGAATAAATTTCTGTTTGTTACAGGGATCGACTTAATGGTGTTTATGTTATAGTAGCATTAAATAACTAAGACAACAATTTACATATATTTAATTATTAGGGAGCAACATTAAATAAGACATTTTATATACTTTAATTATTATTAATACGTTAATTATTACAGTAGGTTCATGAAGGTTTTCACATAAGAACATTGACAGAGAAGTTGATAAGTTAGGTCAAGGTCTAAAAGTTAAACAGTAGAACCAAGATACAATTATTCCTACCCCCCAAAAAAAATCTCACAACTAATCACTGGTTTGATTTGGGTTTTGGATGATGAAATGGCATTGTCATCTGTGTAAGATGTTAGAAAAATGTTCATTTTACATTTGGGGGAAGGTTATCAATGTACATTAATTTGCAGCCATAAGCCATAAAGAAGGTGTAGCAGAAAGGGAGGAGGCTATAGACAGAGAAGAATGTTCTGCAACCAAGAAAGGAGGAGCCAGGGAACGACTAGAGAAGGTAATGAAGGAACCCTTTAAAAGAAATAATTAAAGTAACAGCGACCAAAGGAGAAAAACTAGGATGTGAGAATAATTGTATTAAAATTGATAGCAAATTAGAATAACGGGAAGCTTTAAATTTGTCCAGGTAGGAGCACATAAGATGTTTAGAAAAGGCATTACAAACCGAAAATACAAGCCTATGATGAAAACTCATCAATGATAATTGCTCTATGGTTGTTATGGTAGTACTATAATTACAGTATATGTAATTACACTTTTATGTAAGTGGCCTGGATAAAAAAATTAGGACAATAATAATATTTATACAGGTATAACATAGACAATTTTTAATTTTTATTATTGCCTTTGATGTTGGTTTGGTTTATAAAGAAAAATCCTAAATTTAGTTTATTTATCAGAAAGAAGCTTCAGATTCCTCTAAAGTTTTAGATAGAAACATAACTTATAATACGTACACTTTAACTCTTATTATATACTTTATTCTTTTGCAAGACACAGCTTCCTTAACTGAAGTTGTAGAGCAAGTTGCAAAACAACAACAGTCACAAACATCAGAAATAGAAAAAAATAAAAAAGTTCTGCTCCATTTGCAGGTAACTTACTTCATACTGTCTTTTAAATTAGTCTTTATTTTCTTTAAGGCTATCTTCTCCTTAAACTCACTCATTGCTAGTGAATTTAACTGATCTGAGCTGTTGTGTTTCCAAGGAATAAATTACCCAGGAATTCTCCCTTGGATCAGCTGGTATATTTGAACATCTAGAGAAATGCACGGGAGCGGGCGGGGTGTCTGGGGAGTGTGGGGAATTCACTAGTTAGCAGGGTTTGGTAGGCAGAGTGAGGGGGTGAAGGAATTAGGAAAGATCCTGTGGGATCTGAAAAAGGGGGGGGTAATAATGGGTATAGATCAATGATGATTAATTATAAGACGCAATGCATGGGAATGATCTTATGAAATAAATGAAGGAATGTGTGAAATACAATGTATACGAATGAAAGACAACTTTAAAAAATTTAAAAGGCAAAACCAAAAATTATCCCCAGTGGGCCAATAGGGAGCATGATGATAGAGAAAATATTGAAGTTGCCAAATATTTTACCTTTCTTAGATCCACAATCAACACCCACAGTAATTGTTGTTGTTGATTGCCTTTGAGTTGAGCACAACTCATAGCGACCCTATAAACAAAAGGCCTGAAGGCCCTCTACAACTATCGACATTTATCAAAAAGTTCATAGAGTTTCTGGAGGCATGTTGTTTCGGAAGTGGATGCCGCTTCTGCATCCAAACCTATCAATCAGAAATCAAAAGATGTATGGCACTGGAAAAGTCTACTGTTAAGGACCTAGCCAAAGACTTAAAGGGCAATAATATCAGTTTAAAGAGTAAGTCTGATCCAACTTGTGGTATTTTCATTTGCTTCCTATGCATCTGAAGATGGACAGTGAATAAATATGACAGAAGAGAATTGATGCCTTTGAATTCTGATACTATAGTTGTTGTTTTTGTTATTATGTGCCGTCGAGTCACTTGCGACTCATAGCGACCCTATGTACAGCAGCCCTAAACTCCTCTCTGTCCTGTGCCAATCATACCATCTCTGATACACCCATTCCAATTGCCCCAGTCAGAATCAATCCACCTCATAGAGGGCCTTCCCCTTCGGCACTGTCCCTCCATGCTACCAAGCATGATGTCCCTCCAAGGACCGGTCCCTCCTTACAACATGTCCAAAGTATGTTAGACGGAGCCTCAGAATCCTTGCCTCCAGAGAACCACCCACTTTAACCCTCTCCAGAATGAATTTGTCTGTTTTCCTAGCAGTCCGTGGTACACTCAATAGTCTTCTTCAGCACCACAGCTTAAAGGCATCAATTCTCCCCCTATCCTCCTTAGTCATTGTCCAACTCTCTGATGCATAACAAGTGATTGCAACGATCATGGCCTGTATCAGACGCACCTTAGTCTCCAGAGAGACACCATTGCTCTTCAGTACTTTGGAGAGGTCCTTAACAGCAGACTTCCCCATCGCAATAGGTTTTTTTAATTTCCTGGCTACTGGTGCCGAGAGTGTTGACTGTGGAGCCAAGCAAACTAAAGCTGTGAAGAGAATCTCTTCACCATCCATCCTGATGCTGCCAGTTGGCCCAGTGGTGAGAATCTTTGTCTTCTTGATATTGAGCCTCAATCCATATTGGAGGCTGCAGTCCTTGACCCTCTGCAGCAAGTGCTTCAGGTCCTCCTCAGTTTCAGCAAGCAGGGTTGTGTCATCTGCATATCGCAGATTGTTGATAGATCTTCCACCAATCTTGACCCCACATTTCTCCTCATAGAGCCCAGCCTCCCTGATAATCCGTTCTGCATACAGGTTGAAAAGGTATGGAGACAGGACACATCCCTGGCACACGCCCTTCCCAATTTTGAACCATGTGTTCCTTGCTCTGTTCTGATAACTGTCTCTTGGTCCAGGTATAGGTTTCTCATTAGCACGATCAAGTGTTCTGGGATTCCCATTCTTCTCAAAGTCAGCCACAGTTTGTTATGATCAACACAGTCTACGCATAGTCAATGAAACAGAGATATACATTCCTCTGGTATTCCCTGCTTTTAGCCAAGATCCATCTAACATCTACAATATCCCTAGTACCACAACCCCTTCTAAACCCAGCCTGGACTTCTGGCAGTTCTCTGCTAATGTGTTGTTCCAGTCGCCTTTGGATAGTCTTCAGCAGAATCTTGTTTGCATGTCAAATCAACGATATTGTTCTATACTTTGGGATGGGAACAAATATAGATCTCTTCCAGTCAGTTGGCCAAATGGTTGTTCTCCAGATTTCTTGGTACAGCTTGGTGAGTACGTTCAGGGCAGCATCTGTTAGCTGAAATATATCAATTGGTATACTGTCTATTCCTGGGGCCTTATTTTTTGCTATTTCCTTCAAAGCAGCTTGAACTTCTTCCTTCATCACCATAGGGTCTTGCTCATATGCTGTTTAATGAAATTCTTCTGTGTCTGCCAATTCCTTTCGATATAGTGACTCAGCATATTCTCTCCATCTTCTTTTACTACTTCCTGGATCATTTAATATTCTTCCTAAAGCATCCTTTATTATAGCAACTCGGGGTTTGAATTTGTTCTTCAGTTCCTTGAGCTTACGAAATGCTGAGCGAGTTCAGCCCTTTTGATTTTCTGACTCCAACTCCTTGCACATTTCATTGTAATATTTTATTTTGTCATCCCATGCTACCTTTTGAAATCTTCTATTCAACTCTTTAGTATCTTGAATTCTTCCTTGTGCTTTGGCTTCTCTGAGCTCCAGTGCAATTTTCAGTGTCTCTTCTGACATCTGTTTTGGTCTTCTCTTCCTCTTCTGTCTTTGCAATGACTGTTTGCACTCTTCCTGGATGATACCCTTGATATCCTTCCACAACTCATCTGGTCTTCGCTCATTAGTGTTCAAGGCCTCAGACCTGTTCCTGAGATATCCCATACACTGCTACCAAGAAATTTGTGTTGAAGGAAGTACAGTGTTGTTCTTAGAGTTAAAGTTGTTGAAAGAAACTACATCTCACATACTTTGGGTATTTTGTCAGGAGGGACCACTCCTTGGAAAAAACATCAGGCTGGAAAAAGTGGAAGATAGGAGAAAGAGAGGAAGACTCTCAGCTAACAAAGGGCTTGAGACTATCAGAGGAGGATGATGCAGGATAGAGCAAGGGTCAGATGTGTTGTTCATAGAGTTCTGAGATGACATAGACTGGAGATCAGTTAACAACAAGAACAATTTGCCCTAAAGATCAACTCTCACAGAAACCAAAGGAAGAGCTAGGAAATATTTATTAACAAGGAGATGGAGGGAAATGCTGATGTGCTAAACTACTTAAATCATCAGCATATACTTATATTCATACATTTAAAGAAGGCTTAATAAGGAACAAAGATATTTAAGATGTTGTCGATAGCCTAGAAAAGGCTACAAATCAAGACAACAAAGGAGATAACAATTTCATTAGGAAGAATTATTTAAAATAATTAAGGATTTAAGTAATATAGAGAACAGATGGTGACAGGACCATATCTAGTGGAATACACAGCTCTTAGGAAGTGTCCCCTGTACTTAATAAGTAACAACAAAGCTTACTGAAATAGGAGGGGGAAATATCCCAAACAAAACAAAGGGAAAAGATGCAGAAGTAAAAGAACTGAACCGAGGATTTCAAGGGCAGCTAAAGAAGATAAGCAAAGTATTGTAATGACTGTGCAAAGAACTAGGTTGGAGAATAAAAAGGGAAGAACTTGCTCAGTGTTTCACAAGCTGGGAGAACTGAAAAACTAATTCAAGTCTCAAGTTGCAATACTGGAAGATGATATGGACAAAATCTTGAATGATTCAGCAAGCCTCAAAGGAAAATAGAAGGAATACACAAAACCACGGTACCAAAAAGAATTGGTCCACACTGAAATATTTCAGGAAGTACCATATTATTAGGAGTCTATGGCAATGAAGGAAGAAGTTCAAGATGCAATGACAGCATTATCAAATACTAAGACCCCAGGAATTGATGGAATACCAGTTAATGTATATTGATTTGGAGGACAACTGTTTGATCAACTACTTGGAAGAGATCCATATTTGTTGCCATTGCCAAGAAAGGTGATCCAACAGAATATAGAAATTATCAAACAGTATCATTAATATCAAATGAAAACAAAATCTTGCTGAAGATCATCCAGAACAGCTAGGACAGTCTATACAATAGAATTTTAAAATAATATTATCCAAGATTTTTCTGGAAATTTTTTTTTATAAAAAGATTTTGGAGACACTATTTCATTTATATTTTTTTACTTTCTACTAAGCATTTTACTAGCCACTGTCCTTATTTGACAGTAATCATGTCAGTGCTGGTGGTGCAGCTTACTGCGCACTTGCTGTGTAATGAGAGATACATAACGTGATAAGAAACTCATCCTAAAGGTAATAGGAAGTCTTTGATAGACTTTAGATAAGTGAACAAACAATCAAATTTTTGTTTTGGAAAGATAATTGAAGATGCATAAAATGTAGTAGGAAAAAACCAATAGACTGTGTTGTCCCTACCCTTGCCAGGTGTCCCATCAAAAACAATCTCCCCTATCCAGCCCTTGATATTATGGCCTATATGTCACAGTGCTTCTGTGATTTCTAATGCCTCAAGCTGCTGCCAGTTTCTTCCTCTAAGAGCAGTATCTCTTGACTTCAGGAATTTTGAACTTCTCCTCCAGGATTGACTTCTTGTGTCTTAGGGCATCTTCTTCTCCATTTATGCTACAAGTTTTCCAGGGAAGGTTGATGTATCCTATAGATTTAGTATATATTATTGTCTTCCTGGCCTGAAGGCCCTCGGGCCCCAGGATTTGAAGATAGGCTTGCCCTGTGGGGTTCTTGAAGTCATAGTTAATCATACCTGCGTGGTAAGGGGTCTTCTGAGAGATTTCCTGCCATATGTGCTGTGTCCCCGGTCCTCCCTTCTGCCCCCACTTTGCGTTGACTAGCAGATATGGCAACTGAGGAGGAACAGCTGTAAGCAGACACTAGTCATTGGAACATG